TGGTGGGGTTGGTGTTGGTGGTGGGGAATGCAAATTGCGTGAAACATTGGGTGGGGTCAGTGGAGTTTAGCGAGGATCGAAGCGGAGATGGGAAATTAATGAAAGATAGAGATTGTAGGTTGGTATGGGCAATGCACCACCGTGTCACTTCGATGAATCCAACGTACTGGGACGAGGGTGAGAATTGAGAAGGATCTCCATATGAATATCCAGGTTTGCGCTAATGAACCGAGTCGGTTCACCCAGCGGTGATCCCACCCTCCTGGTGCATTTCGCCCATCACGTCTGCTGCTGCCGTCTCCAAAGTGGTGGTGAGCAGCCGAAACCACTCACCACCATCCGAGCTTTTCTAAGCAGTACTTGAAGACACTTCGGTGAACACTATGAAGATTGTATTTCCCTGACAGAATCATGGTAAATGCCTATCCTTCGCCGGTTTACCGTAGGCAGGCCCGCTGCAAACGGTTTACCGAATCCGTCCGATAACTAAACGGTAGTTCGCCTGCCCAAGACTAGTCAACAGCGTAATCATTCCACAACTGATCTACAAGATGTTGAGCTCGGTCAGGTAGTTAGACAGTCCCTGTAATCGAGTATCGATTCAAACTACCGGACCGTGGATTGAACACGAAATTAGAAGTGTGGATCGTGTATTCAACTATTTGAAATTCAATGATTTTGAGGCGTCTGGAGAAAACTTTTCTGTACAATAAAATGAAAAGGCGCGTTTAAGAGGGATTGATTGTGCTACTCACGTAGAATGGGATGAGTCCCTGCTGGCGGTCGCTGCGGATGGCGTCTTGCAGGGCGTCGGCGCGCAGGCGGTTGTTGGCGTCCGTGGGCAGCAGACGCAGCTTGACGCCGCCCAGCAGCCCCGCGCGCTCCACCGACGAGTGCGCCTGGCCTGCAACGCACGACTCCCACGCTCAGCAACTCGCACCGCTCCGGCCCTGCACTCAACCACACGCATACCTTCCTACACCCAGCACCTTACACCTCAACGCTCAATACTTCACACCCCTCCGGTCCAGCACTCAACCACTCACTTACCTTCCTACGCCCAGCACCTTACACCCCTTCGGCCCAGCACTAACCACACACATACCTTCCTACACCCAGCACCTTATACCTCTCATCACTGAGCAACTTACACCTCTTCGGTCCAGAACTCGACCACTCACGCACCTTCCTACGCACTGCGCCTTACACTTCTGAAGGCACACACAGCCCTTCGGCCCAGCAGTCAACCACTCACATGGTTTACTACGCCCAGCATCTTACACTTCTCAACGCTCTGCACCTCACGGCCCTTCGTCCTAGCGTTCAACCACACACACTTTCCTACGCTCAGTACCGTACACCCCTTCGGATCAGCAATAACTACACATATCTAGGCCCAGCACCTTACACCTCAACGCTCAGCATCATACACCCATTCGGCATAGCACTACCCACACACATACCTTCCTACGCCCAGCACCTTACACCTCACCACTCAGCATCATACACCCATTCGGCCCAGCACTCGACCCCATACATACCTTCCTACACCCAGCTCCTCATAGCTCAACGCTCACTCAGTTTCACCACACATTTCGCCGTGCCAAGAACCTTACATCCCTCACACTTAGCACTCAGTCTCAAAACATATTTTGCCGGGTCCAGCATCTTAAACGCATCAACGTTCAGCACTCAGCCTCACCACATACTTCCCCATGTCCAGCACATTACACTACTCGACGCTCAGCACTCAACTGTACCAGTACCTCCGTATGCCCTGAACCTTACACTCCTAAAGCTCAGTTCTCAGCTACCACGAAGACTTCCCCATAACCAATACCTTACACCTCAGTCCCAGACGGGAAGGTTCTTATTGCACACCTTTCAATGCTGAGTACTCTAAGGGTCGAATTCATAATTAGCAATTAGGAATTTAAAAAATAAGTTTTTGCTTAAAATAAGTAATCTCGGCCAATTTCATAGACGTTCCTGATTAACGTGAAATGAGTGTTATCGTAAATGATTGCAGACATGTCAATGAATCGTTTGCACATGCAGTTTCTTTGTTTAGTGCTCACTGAGTGAACACACAATTATTTTCGAATGAAAGGCGTCCGATCTTATTTGATCGCTTTCGAAATTATCTACACGACTTTTTCCGAATTGTAAAGCACATTAACACATTAATCATTAATTAAGAGAGTATAACAACCGGTATGATGAATGTGAGAACAGATGCTGGTGCTAAATGGTTAGATCATTACCAAGTGACCTTAAATGTAGAACCTGCATTTCAGAAGAGGTGAATGCCGTTATGAAAGTTCTTTAATCTTTGGAGCTCTGATGCAAATATGTAATGGACAAATGAAAAAAATTACGAAGACCTTGGAAGAAGATATTTGGGTAAATATAAAAATAAACTTTATGGCAATGGTTTGGGAAGTAATCAGAAGGGAAGCTCAAAAAAGGAGTGGTATGGGCAGAAACAAATGAGGGCATTTTTGGTTTGATGACGAATCAATCGACAAATTCACAAGAAATGTGTTGCGCCTAATATCTAGATACCTAATAACTTGAATACCTAAATCGGCCAAGTCGGGCTAAAAAGATGGAGTATGAAAAAAAGGAATGAAAACAATATTCTGCAGAGAAAATGAAAGGAAAATATTTTAAAAAAATAATGCAAATAAAAGAAGGTTGATGGGCTGCAGTATCAGTAAATATGTTGCTGAACAAAACCAGGCCACAGCGTTTTCTAAAAAGTAGCACGCACTCTGCTGAAGATGAAATAAAATTCTCCAGTACGACGCTGTATTTACAAAAGTATTTACAATGTATTTACAAACGTCAGTCAACGAAAACTGCAATAAGATACACCCATACACGCATTTATATATACACCTTGTGTATATATACACAAGGGAGGAAACGTCGAAACTTCGAAAAGATCTTAAGACAATTTTAAGCATACTTTGTCTAATAAACTACGTGGATATTTCGAATGGCTGAACCGCGATAAGCACTCAAAAGTGTGTTTGAAAAAATTATTTCTAGGCAGGAATTTGCATTGTAAAAGCACAGAATCGCTCCAGAAATATGTAAATTATTTATTATTTACAAAAAATAATATATTTGTTCAGAAACAAAAATTAAGCGAAGAATGAAAAAAACAGTCGAATTGTGTGAAGTTAGTGCTTCTGTATTTCTTGGTTAATGTTTCTGCAATAAAATGATGAATATGCAATACAAAATGGGTTTCCCATTTAAGAATTCAAAAGTCCCCCCCATCCCCAGTGAGCGGGTGCGAGGTTTGATTTCAGGTCAGGCAATATATTCCCCTTGGAGATATTCATTTTTTGTCTGAAACTCTCTTTTGTACGATGCATCTCTGTATATTCACTTAAGCAGATTATGGTTGAGAGTTGTCGTTGAGAATTGCGACAATAAAGTAAAAAATGGTACGCTTTTACAGAATTAATGCTTTATAGCTTATACTCACTTGAAGCGTATCCCACAAGTCTTGATACAATGTCGCTTTCATTCACATCTGGGTTCTCTTCGCGTGCTTTGCTGACGACTCGAGCCTTGGCTCCCAGCAACGTCACAAGGGTTGATTCACTCGCGGTCCCCTGCACGAACCATCGGCCAATAAAGCAACCATCCACAATAAGTAAATGAGCGTTCGTTTAGACAGTAATAGGAAATCATCGTTATATTCTACACGTACATAGATTTTCGTTATTTCCCAAAATAGATGTGAATATTTACTCCACATTATACTTAAAACTTTCAGGCAGAAATATTTTTCTCTAACTGGACATACAAGTGCTCATTAAGAAGTTTTTTAAAAAGTATTTATACACCAACAGTTTGCCGATAGTCAAGATGGAATTAACTCAAAACTGACTTCATTTGATTCACGTGTCGAAGGATAAACACGTTTGCACAGATCAATTAACAGATTTATCCAAAAACATTGAGTGAAGAGCTTCTATTTGGCAGATGCGATTTGCTAAATTGAATGTAGTAAAGAGGATGTGCAAAAAATCTGCGTGCTTTCGTGGGTTATGGATGCAAGTGCTGTGGGTTATGAATTCTGGGATCACCACGAGTTAGAGAACGCAATTTACTATACATAGGATCAGGATTTTTCGACATTTCCATTACCAGGACCCGACAATACGAGTTTTTCTGTCAAAAATTCAACTTTTTCTGATGTACGATTAGAAAAATTTCTCGTCTTAGTGGATGCATGACTTACTGAATTCATGGCCCTCTGAATGTAAATTCATGAGGGCGAGAATGTAAGAAATACCTGTATGACGCCGCCTCCCTTGCCTCCAGAGATTGCGAGAAATTCGGGTGGCAGGTCGAGCATCTTGCCCAACCAATCCAGCATCACCACTTCCAGCTCCGTGCAAGCAGGGCTCGCGATCTGAAAAAACATAAGAAATTGACACTATATTCTCAAAACTGCCCATTACATTCATCCCCCCAGATTAACTACGATTAATATGAGCACATGTGCACGTTCAGCAACAACGGAGAGACAATTACACATTTCCGGAAGCAAATTATTACTTAAATTATACTGTCAAGTCACTGGTTAAAGATGCAATGGACAACACAAGTACGATAATACCTGAGAATTTTCTGTGTTCCTTTGACAATGAAAGAAAGTAGCAGTAGTCATTTCACTAGCAGCATATTATATATAATGCTGCTAAGGTCATTAGTTTGAGTGCTAAGATCATTTGCTGCTAAGATCATATTTTTATCGCGAGAGGAGGTGACGAACTTCCCTCCGCTGGATGGCGAGATTTGACCTACGTCGGCTGGCTTGATTTTCCCCAACCAGGTATCTTCTACCAGCGTGTGTGTGTGTAAGTACGGGGGGAGGAAAAGACAAGGAAGAGTAAGGAAAGATTTTGGGCGGACCGTGCCCCGTTATTTAGAGTACTGCCCCGGCATTCCCTAGCACAAATGTCGGGAGACCACACAGGCGATTAGAGTTTGTCCCGGCTGGGGTGATTTCTCACTGAGCAAAGTTCATGGAGGGGGAATCCCGGAAAGCCTAGCGGTGCACGCCTTCGAACCGCCGCCTGATCCAAGGTTCCAGCGGGAAAGGAAACACCGCCACCTCCCGAGACACAACATGCGCTAATGACCATAGTAGTTGGCACGCCCTGAAATCTACGGAACTAATGACCATAGAACTTGATGCGCCAGAAACACTATCCAATCAAGCAAACGATCAATCGATCGAGTTTGAATCCAGAATTACTATATTTTTACGTTCAAACAATGACGCATACAAATAGTATTAGCAAATAATAGTCACATTAACTCCGAAACATGTAATCGCTACATTACTTATTTTTATGTCCATAATGAATGTATTAAAATAAAACATTAATATAAAAGCATACATGTCGCATACCTGAGCATTCTACATTTATCATTAGAGACAGGATTTTTATGTAATTACATATTTTTATAATCTACTAGCAGTTTTGAAAACTGAAATATTGGCTAGTCATTGTTAACCTAACACAATATCCATTTTTTCTTACTTATTTTTACATATTTAGTACTATATTACATTTTTTACATATTTTGACATATTTGTCGGTTCATACTACATATTTTTTCAGTCTCTACTTTTAATAAAGTAAATAAAGTATTACAAAAATTATTTCGATAAATTTTTATTTAATTCACTTTTAAAATACTTCATTCCTTTGTAATATATTTAAAATGCGATGAAAATAACATTAAAATACTAATGAATAACACACATTTCGTATATGCATAATTTTTTTTGCACGTAGGGGGACAAAAGTTTGAATATTCTATCCCACAATGTTGGAATTTTAGTAGCAGAAACTTACCCATGCGAATCCCTTGCAGGCGATGCCAGCACTCAGCATGTCCGCCACGATGGCCGGATAAGAGTTGGCCGTGGGGTAGTAGGCGTGGAAGCGAGGTGAGTGCCAATGGGTGATCTGGAGGCACAAAGAAGGCTGACACAGAAACGCGTTTGCAAAACCAACTCCAGATCCCTTTAACTAAAACTTTCAATCAATGATGTAATAGAACACATTCGTTTACGCAATTCTTCATCGCAAAGTTTCAATTGTACAGGGTGTATCGGAGGGTTTCTGGAATCGAATGATACACATTGGGCGTCCGTGGGTTGGACATTGGTCTCCAACGCGTCGTTCTTGCAAGGATCTAGAGGTGCTCAGCTATAGGGATCACATTTATATGCACAGAGGGATCACAGCATTATCCGGGAGCGGGCGGGCATCGCTGGTACGGCGGCGATGCGTAGGTGTACGGGTGTGTGCGATCGAGGGAGTTACAGTTGGACGATCGGTGGTACGGGCGGGCGATCGGTGTGGGTACTGGACGTGTGCGATCGATGGAGTACAGTGGAGCGATGGGTCGAGGACGGGGGCGATCGGGTGGGTACGGGTGAGCGATCGAATGGGTACGGTGGGCGATCGAGTGGGTACGGGTGGGCCAGATAGTGGCGATGGGTTCTGCGCGGGCTATCGTGTGGGTACGGCCGTGCGATCGGGTGGGTACGGGCGGCGATCGGGTCGGTACGGGCGGCGGCGCTGGTACGCATTGGGCCTCACCCCCGGCATGATGAGGCGCTCCACGTCCGCCATCACGTCCTGCCACTTCTCCGGCTGCTCGGGCGCGCTCTCGGGCAGCAGCTCGCGCAGGTAGCCCGGCTTCACGTTGGGCAAGCACGGGCCTGCAAAACACACACACACACCGGTCACTCGCGCACCTCCACACACAGCCGCGATCTCCAGCCCTCGGGGTTGCGTCAATTTATATGTTTATTAAGAGTTATTTACCCTTTATTTAACCTCCCTCAACACGCATGATACCATCGCAGTCCAGAAACAGGTTCAATGAGAAGAGTGGACTCTTTGAGGACACGTTTTTGCTACTACATGATGCAATGATATCTTTATAAAAGTGCGATCTGTGCACATATCTAAGTAAAAAGGACTCCGTGTTGCAATTCTGTAGGAGAAACGACGAAGTTCGAGGGTAGATCGCTCTTTCTGTGACAACCTTTCAGAAATCGAGAAATATAAGCAGTGATATAGAGCGGCCTGCCTAGTTTTGAGAGACTACCAATTAGATCCTCATTGAGAGTCTCCGTGGTGCCTACCAAGATGAATGAATCTAGTAGCTTAATATCCGCTGAGACAGGACGACTCCCCAGGGTTCGAAGCCAGTGTTCTTCAGAAAGCATAAGACAATCTGGTCTTTGAAGTAATGGTCCTTCAACGAAGTGAGGGAAGTACCGCGCGAAGCACAAACAGTAAGATTGCTTACTCCAGGAATATAGATTGATCAAGCCTACTCAAGAAGGATCAGAATAAGAAGTATGTGATTAGTGACAAAACATTACAAAGAATTTTGAGGTAACTGGATCCAATGAAGAACCGTTTGCGAATCCAACCAAGAAAGATCGCGGCCGTTCCTAAATCAAGGGTTCCCACAATAAATTTATTTAAGTTTCAAAGCAGTCGCCCTAGCCTTGAAATAGCCTGCGGCTTTAAAGGCGCTACTTTAGTTTTCGAGCATTCGAGTGAAACTAAAGACGTCTTTAGAGATTACGCTCGTCCTTAGATAAACCACAGCCCCATAGTCTAGGTGAGATACATCCTCAAATTTATGAACCTCGACGCGATCCCAACCAACGGAGATGTTTCAACGATCTAATCAGAAGGAATTCTTCAATAAATGACGCACTCCCGACTGCTACGTCGACGGGGACATCATTCCACCCTAACTTTTAAAGACACAGCAACTGAACTGTTATATTGTCACTGGCAAGGTAGGGCGACAGCCAATCTAAAGGATCAAATACACTGGCCAGAAATGGCAATGTTTGCTTTGTCAGAGCTCTGAAAACAGAAGGCGTACAAGACAAAGTGAATGTACCATCCTTAGTAAGCTAGGACACATATAATCAATCTTTCGACGCGCAAAAGATTCCTTTCTTCTGCCAAGCCATGATTTTTAACAGAAATCAACCAGTAGCGATGGAAAATTACTGCCGTGAAGAGTAAACACACCCGCCATGAGCATTTCTTACAATTGCTCTTGAAAATGACAAACTGTCGACATAATCGTCACCATACAAACCATCATCTATATAGAGCCTAGTGAAATGAATAGAGAAAGAAATAGAGGCTGCAGAGGGAAAATTTCCTCCCTCATCATGAGGCAATTGCTTTAAAACTATCAGAAAGATAAAAAACCCATCCAGTGCTATAACAGACAGTCAGTTGTCTGTAGGCTACCAATTTATGATCAGGGTAGTTCCACCAGAAAATTTATTGGAACTTCGAGTCTTTAGGCCTCAGTCTGATCTTCCGAAACATCTTTGTTACATAATATGAGCTTACGACACCTTCATTGAAGAAAGAAAGCAAAGAGATCATTGTCGTGCTTGGGCACTGAATGCAGACAATTATTAAGGCTTAATCTATTTAATGATTTTCGAGAGAACCTAATTTTTGTAGTCTGACTTTCCTCGCTAAAAACAGTATACGAAGGATTAATACATTAGAGGAAACAACTGTCAACTCAGATATAGACTCCATGATTTAGTCTCAAGAACTCGCTTATAAATTTTCGATTCTCCAGCGTATAATTCGGACGACTTAACTAATCTTTGTTCAGATGGTAGAAACGAGTATACCAACCTGGTAGTAACTCCAAAGGATGAGGAAATGCAGACTTTAAAGGGAAGGACACCATGTAACGACCTCTAACGTGCAACTAGGGCGTCTAGTGTATTCAAAGTGGAGTTCGCTTTCACTATCAGCTTAGGTAGTCTCTAAAGTTTCTTCTAGGAAAAGAAAAATTGAGACATGGTTAGATACCAAATTGAAACTATGTTCCAAAGACCCGGATATTTTTCAACTGAATGCCGTCTTTTGAGGAATAGGGGAAGGCATAATCTCGTTCCTAAACCCCTCGAGAATAAACATTATATTAATTTGCCCCAATTATAATATTAGTTTATTCGTTACTCTGAAGAGGGATGTAACTGGTCAATATAGGAAGGGAAAACTAACGCATGCACGAGGACACTGGGCTACTTCGGGTCACTTTGGCTACACAGCGTAAAATCAATGCCTTTTAACGAGATCGAGACACTGCGAGATTGAAGTCTTAAGCCACCAAGAAAATCATGCGTCTTGATATGCAAGACACTGGCGATCCCTGGTCCAGTAAAGCACGTACCACTAGACCTTCCATTTTCGGCATTCATCCGCACCAAAGCGGAAGGCAGCAGACCGCCAGTTAAATTTATACCCGAAAGGAAGTTATTAATTGAATGAGTGAAAAACAGAACGGTTTACGTGACATTTTATAAATTCTAAGAAATCTGTTTAAGTAAGCCAATATCACTGAAAACTCGTAGTGTTTTGTTTCATCATGTTAAAACTAACTAATGAATCAGTTATTCATTAAAACCACGAAAAAACATTGCCAAGGGCATAAATCTTAAAATAACTCGTTTTCTCAGAATTTGTAAAATGTCACTTATACCGTTCTGATTTTCATCCATTCAGTTGATACCTCTGAAGAATCGAGGCTTCTGAAGTGGCGTTCCTGTCGAACGCATGATTGAAATGCAACAATGTGTGGTGCTTATTTTTACACGTATGGCACACACTTTTGCTGTCGCATTGTGCTGACAATTGCCCTGGTCTTATACACTTAAAGCAAAGTTTATCCTCTTCTATCAGCATTCTAGGTTTTTTAGTAAAAATTTCTTAATTTGAAAGAACATAAAACGAGCGTGCCTGGCAGCACAACGCGCACAACTTTTTTACTCCGAGGAAACTTGATGTTCTCACCCTAGTGGAACCTCTCTGTCCTCCAAAGAGTTTTCTATGACTGGACTCGTACGGAATCTAAAATTCTAATACAAGTGTTTAAAAATGTGTTCAATTGGCCATATGGTGGCATGTCCATGGTTCCATCATGCGTTCGCTCCCATCAGATCTAGTACTAACATAAAATGTTTCTTGGGATGGTTCAAATTCAACAAAGCTGCCTTAATGTCACCGGATTCATCTAGCAATCATTTTAAATCAGTAAGTGATGAATTTTATCTCACCTTCACGATGTTAACGAACGCATTCAAATGAGCATTAGCAAACACGTGTCATTGAAACGTTTCTGCAGAAGCGCCCAGACCGGTTTATAACTCGCCTCACTAAACAAGTGTGCATCACGACAACATCAAGAGCACTTAACCAGAAAGACATTTTTTCAAACAGTGAAGTTTTCGTAAGATACGAATTAGAATCTACGAGTGACGCAAATAGGTCGCGATAGCTTTCTCAAATCGCCGGCAAAATTAGCTCGGTAGTGTTTCGAAGTTTCAATGGCATACCCTTGTCCCTTCCCGCATACATGCTATCAAAACTACTGGCGAGAAATATGGAAGCCGGCTGCGAAGGTTTGTTCAATTAACTCGTGATAAAATCGTGATAAAAATCCAAACCAATATCATAAAAGTTAGATACTTTCACAAACTCATCACTCTCGAAATACACTGCTTTCCGAAGACCATTGTCCACGCCGAGGGCGCCTCCAGAGCCGTTCGCAGGCCAAGACATTTGTTTCAATTGCCTTGTAATTTTTCTGCCGATTACGAACTGTTATTAAGGTTTGCTTCTCCTTCGATAAATTATTGAAATTTTTAATTGATCGCTTAATCAACACTGTTTACCGTTTGTGCCGGTAAACGTTGCGCCGGTTAACACATGTCGCAATCTTAAATATCGTAATAAAATGTGAGTGCAAGAACTCTGCACTTTCGTAAATACACTTACGTGGGTTGGATATCGGGCGCGGATAACAACTTAATCTGTTAAAGATACTTTTAAATGATCTTTGAAGTATTTAATATAAGTTGTACACAAACTTTACAAAGCGGTCCTTGATGATCAGTCGCCAGTGTAGATAAAGACATATAAAACGGCGAGGCAGACCTACAGTATGAACGCAGAAATTACGACTGCCACCAGGTCCTTTGAACTCCCATATAACGTGGTGGAAACCATTCCTATGGCGCGCCCTCCTGCAACACCTTCCCACAGGAACTAAAACACGAACTGCTACCAACGATACTTAAAACGTATGTGTATATAAAGAATAATTGTACATTTAAAAGACGCGTTTCCTATTTCACACAAATTAGCCAATTTCGTTGGCGATCCTAACCTGCAGCTGTACCCAGCGACACTAGCGCCTCCTAGAGTAGCACCCTCGAGCTTTGCCCCGATTTTGATGGAGAGTTGAAAGGCCCTGACTGCCACCGACCGCGGCTGGATCTCTGCGCCACCCCTCCGAACCTCGCGGGGTTGATGTCTCCCACCGAACATGATAAGAAAAGAGGGCTGACGACAAAGCGAAGGCGCGGGTAAGGGCACACAGAGATAACAATCTTCAAGAATTGCAGGTAGTTAAAATATTATAATGATGGAAATGAATGATAGAGTTCTTCTAGCAATATAGGTGTTGTGGTGTGATATCTTTGGCATTTTTCATAAAATAATTAAAGACGATGTCATTGCCAACAATATTATTTAATGCAATAGCAGCTTTCGATGGCTTAGCCATCATCATCAGTTGTCTGCTGGGTGGAAGCCACAAAACGATCTTCTAGCAATCATCTTGAACCATATAGATTTAGGAGATTGCAAGAAG